TGCAGCACAATGTACTTCTCTCACCATAATTTCATGCAGACAAATTACATAGTCATATTATCTCCAAGACGACAGCACCTGGAAGTGTTTGAGATGATCACAGCATCTCTGCTGAGCACACAGCAGCCAGTAAAACTACACAGCACTTGGAAGACAAGAAGATAGTTCCTCTACAGCAGAGGACAGCAGGGAGTTTTGGTCAATCAAGTGGAATTCACAAGTTTAAATTTGACTAGAACATTCATCTGCTTCTGTGATAAATGCTACATGATCCTTGATGACAACTCAGTATTACTTCCCAGGTCCAGACTACTGAGAGGAAAGAGTACTGCACACCCAAAACAACTTGTACTAACATCTCACGATCTCTCATTCAAACACTGATCCTGTCCATGCTTGATCTGCTGATATCATAGCACAGGAGGCCATAGTTGTGAAATTACTCACAAATTTTTAGAAGAGCGGTGTAAAAGCTATTGCTCAGGGAACTTCACTCACTGCAGTAACGTTTACTAAGAACTTGTGGTACACACAAGTCCACTTCAGCAAGCAAGGCACAAAACCCTCAAATAGGCAATGCTGTAACAAAACAAAAGCAGAGCAACACCTCAACCACATGCCAGCATCATTTCCTCATTTCCAGTCCGAAACCTGAGAGCTGTTAACTTTTGGATATGTCAAGAAACATTGCTGCCAGTATGTTACTCACCAAACAAAGGCTGAGGGGTTGTAGCATCTCACAAACAACAGAGTGACTCTCCCTCCCTTAAATCAGGTGAGTATGAAGCTATTCCTAGTGAGGGATAAATAAGAAGCTAATGATGGTTATTCATAGCCCTTAAAGCTAACAGTTTATCCGAGTTAAATGCAAGAGTAATAATCCCTTTATGACCTTCCCCATTTTTACTGGGGAAATGGACAAGATTTCATTAAAGACTGCTGTTAATCAGTTTTCAACTTTTTTAAATCTTGAAAGTTACACTAGCTTGAATCAGAATCTACCAGGCTATGCTGTTTATACATATCACTGAGGACTTAAAAACAGAAATGTAGGCAGGACCTTTGTCTTTTACCGTCTCTTCAAATTCAGTAAGATTTTTGCCCCAGATTTCCACAGGTATTGAACCTACATGTTAATCTGCCATGAGGCATGCCTAGAGACTATAGATCACCCAGTTTGACAAACTGGATTGCAGTGATAAAGGAGGCAAGGATTTCTTGCTGTTCTTCATGTAGTCACAAATCACTACCCCAGAAAACTTGCTCCTGTAAGCAAGGAAATATATTACCAAAACTAGCCTAGCCTTAACCTGAAATACAAGAGCTACATCTTGACCAGAAGCATGAAAGAGAAGAAACAGTAAGAGATCTGAACTGTTCAGCTAGAGAATTTTTCCTCTGTGCCTCTGTGACAAATGTGGATAATTAAACTCATCCATAATCACAAAAGATAAGAGAACAAGATATAAAGCATCTTCCTTCTGAGGAACAGGACAAACATGATTTTTCACAGACTGGCAAAGTTCACTCTCTAGGCACACTTGTACTTCATTTTCCACCATGGTACCTCTTGAGCCTTTCCTCTGAAAGACTTCTTACAATGCAGAATGCAGGTACAGACAAGCTAAAGGTCTAGTTTGAAACAACATGAACAAAAGCAAGGCAAAATTCCACCCGCTAGCAGACACTCTACCTTTATTCATCTTGGCTTTTGACAGAGCTTGGTAATAAACAGGGGAGATACGTACATGTGCCTGCTCAATCTACAAAGCACACAACTGGCAATGTACTTGGTGTAAGAACATGGCCTGGTATTACAAAGTGAACCGATGTATTTATCTTTGAAGCAGTAATACTGGTTTTGATTGTGGTTTGAGGTTTGTTTGATTTTGTTCAGATTGGCAAGTGGCTCTGTACAACTCAAAACATTTTAAGACCACAGTGTACACATTTGTTTGAGGTGCTTACTGTTGTTCCTACACAGAAAAGGCAAGAAGGGTTTCAATTACATAGTAAAAGTAAGGTAAGAAAATCATGGCATTTGAATCACACTGTGAAATGTTGCACTTGCTCCAGAAAAACTATTATATGTGTTTGCAGAAATCCATGGGAACTGTGCCTAGGACATCCACAACACGAAGAAATAACTGCGAGCTGCGTTACATAATGGAAAGTTACACAGCTGAAATATGAAAGTACCAAAGTTACACTGACTTTGTACTAAAGTTACAAAACTGAAAGGCAAATGTCTTCTTTCTCAGTTTTACCTAGTGTTCTTCTCTTGTACAGCAGATGTTACCTAGGGCACAAAAATCATCTACAACTGCTAAGCAGATTTGCTCAACACAGGATCATGCTCACTCTGCATGCTGCTCTTTATCTTGCAGTGGTTTCTACTGCAAACAGAAAACAGGCATTTTGAAGTAATTAAAAATAAGGCAGTGATATTCTACAATTTCTTTCTCTTACACCCTATCTCCCCTTTACTGTATACTTCAAATATAAGCAAAACTCACATTCATGGCCAGGGAGTGCTGATTGCACCCAAGGGTTGACAGGGACTCTGACTAGCAAGTAGCCTTGAATGTCCTAACTGATGCAGTACAGAAATTTAAACTGGATTGGTCAAAGTCAGCACCTTAACAACTTGACTGTCCTCCAGCTCATTCATTAGATCCAGCGTTAAAGCTTAATATCAGAAGTAATGTAGTTTGCAGGAGTGGGGAAGAATGCACAGGGGTCAGACTGTGGCTCGCGTGCACAGGAGCAGCCGCAGTGTCAGTACAGCTGTGCATCAAGGACAGCAGGCAGTTCACCCGGTGCTCCAGCTGTTCCAGCTGTGGTTTTGGCAGTATACAGGACATTTGGGGATGAATTAATATGCTTACGGAGACAGGAAGGACAAGACTAGGGAAACATGAATTGTTTCCAGGTTAGCTTAATTTCTTACTTGCATAGTCTCAGTCCCCATCATTTCCTGTGCAATATTGCACATATTTAAATAAACATTCTTTTCCATTTCAAATGTCCCAAGTCATGACAGTACAACAGCAGCCTGGTAAGGGAAACAATAATCAACATTTCAGCTAGTTATGAAGGAAACACAGAAGAGATCTGTTAACACTGAAGTGGCTGTGTCAGAAATGAAGAACAGGTTTAAAAGGAGACTTAGGACTTTCTGAAGTTCCAGCTGAACATGAGGAAGAACTTCTTTACTTGGAGGGTGACGGAGCACTGGAACAGGCTGCCCAGTGGGGTTGTGGAGTCTCCTACTTTGGAGATATTCAGAATCCGCCTGCGCGAGGTCCTGTGCAGCCTGCTCTAGGTGACCTTTCTTGGCAGGGGGGTTGGACTAGATGATCCACAGATCCACAACACCTACCATTTTGTGATTCTGTGACTCTCACTTCTGGCCTCACTGCATGGTCAGAGTTACCACAAGTTGTTTTGATCTGATTGTCCTCCTAATCCCCATTGCCCCTGGGGAGAGTAGTCAATTCACAACACTGCATTGCATTTGGCAGAGGGGCTGTTTCACTCTCTCTCACACGCACAGTTTCTATACAGGAGGAGACCAAAGGGAAGACAGAGCAGAGCCCTCTTACCTAGAGACCTGTCCAGCACAATCTCAGACAGTCACTATGTGGGACAGGTGGGAAGTGAGAGATTACAGCAGACTCCTGAGACAAGGTGGTTCATGGATTTAGAGCCCCTCATCTGTGAAGACAACATCTTGTCCAGTCCTGGCAACTAAAGCAGCAGTGTGCCAGGCTAAGTAATCACCAGTTTAAGAATCTGAAGGGCTAGATTCCATTTTAAGATGTTACTAAGAAGACAACTCCAAAAAACAGCTATGGGACAATTCATTTTTACTGACCGGTGGCTTCAGTAGATGTAATTTGGACAGCTGACAGGCAAGGAGGGTAGTTGGGGTAGATGATTCTATACACATCAGAAGCAACTTCTTTTATCCTACCCAAAGTTAATCTTGGTGAATCCCTTTCTGTAACATGACAGTGCCTTTCTAGTCCCTTATACTTAAGCTATGCCCTACCTGTAATCAGTATCACCCTAGATCTCCTCAGAATTAACCACTGCTGAGCAGTCCACAAAACAAGACCTGAAGTTGTAGCATAATGTGAATATTCTCTTGATCTGATTTTATGTTAATGTAAAGCTGAAAAAACACAAAGACCTTTCTGTGGAACTGACAGATAATGTAAAATTCAATGCAGTACAGTGTACACTAACGCATGATGCATACCAAGGTCTTTGGGTTCTACGATAGACACAATCCAGGGATAAATAAATTCGACACGTGAAGACTACACACAGTATGCTATCAAAAATTATTAAGCAGCCTAGTAATTAGATTGTATTACACTTATGATCATTAGACACTTCAGGTATTTTCGCATTCCAATTCTTATTAGCACCACAACAAGACCTCAGAATAATTCCATTCACATACATGCTCCCAAGTTAAAAATACAAATCATATCTCAAAAAACCAGCACAGTAAATATACATACGGGTGTATATTTCCTTCCTTGTGATATTCCAGCCAATATGAACCACAACACGGCTGTTACATACTGCCAAGAGCAAAGGAAAACAGGATACATGGCTGCATATAGGGGTTCACACCCCATACTATTTTTCTTTTAGGAAGGTAGAATACACCTGTAACAGCTTCCTTGACAACAGTACTAGAGCCACCATCCAAAATCCCTATCTACCTTGAATTCTTATGCAAAACAGAAGGCCGTAACTTGCATTTTGCAGAAGTTACTCAACAACAATTTCTAGAATTTTGCAGCCAGCTGCTTCAAAATAGCAAATATAAGAATAAAGAGATAATTTGGTAATGTTCATCTTCACTAAAAGCAGCAGTCATGCACGGAGTTACGGCTTTGGAAAAGAATCGGGTCTGATTTGATAACCCCTATCATTTTATACTTAGAAAACTTCCTGTGAAAATCAAGCATATCTGACAGTACCTGTTCCTCTTTTTCTTTGGTCTTGCTCCTGGAGACTCTGGAAGAGGTAACATCCTGAGCTGGAATGACAGAGATTTGATGCAGTGGCATGTTCATCACACCGCCTTGTTTGGTCCTATCATTTACAGGAAGGAAGCTTGAAGGCAGCACTCATTCGGTGCCATTGTCAGGCCTTGCACCTAAAAAAATAAAAATACTAGATGATGTTAAAATAGCTTGAAATGCAGTTATTTCTAAACCAAATCAACTGGACCAACGTGCACTTCTTGTTTTCTCTCTGGATTCTGAACAGGACAGAGTTTGGTGCCCTGTCTGGGTGAGAAAAGACACAGGACTTTTAAAGACCTAGAACTAGACAGGTCAGAGCACAATTTATGCTAATGAATGAATAAATAAATTATCAACCAGTTCTCAAAGTGGTCCGAGAACAGAGCCAGAGAGCAGGGTTCATACTCCAGTCTGCATGGATAGGGAGGAAGAGGAGGAAGAGCAGCTCTCCAGGTTGAGCAACAGGAACGTAGCTACCTGGAGATGGACAGAGCAAAGCTTGTGCAGGCAGTTTCCCAAGCTGCCAACCCCACCCACACTGGATCAAACTGCTTCAGGCATTATCCTGAATCATGCCGAATGCCATAGCTTTGGTTAAAAACAGTCAGTGGCCTGCATTTGGCTCTTGTCATTCACATAAACATGTACCAGCTGGCAACAGGAAGATGCATCATGTGAGCTGTTCCTTTCTTTAGACTATTAGAGAATAACGTAATCAAACTGCTTCACTAGGAATCAGGAATCCACCGGACTACACACACTTTATCCTTCTTTTTACTAACACAACAGGGAACCATTACACATAGGAAAGACAGTGATACACATAAATTAGCCAAAATGGGCAACACTAATCTAAAAGCCAGGCATAATTAGGCATAGCTTTTATTAGATTAGCGAAGTTACATTAAATAAAAAGCTTTCTGAAACAAGTAGGATCGTGCAGTATTTATTTGGAATGTAACCTGCCGCAAATGAGACACAATCAATTGTGTTTAAAGAAAGGATTAGAGGGGAATTAACACAGCAGGGACTATACTAAATAGGGCAACTGGATGGTGCATTGCTCTTCTGTTTCCATGACATATAAACTTTTTGTTTGTTTGTTTATCAATCTGTGACAGTAGAAAATAAAGAATAAGTAGATGACCTATATATTATGTTGCTTAACAATCTGGAAGTAGCACAGCCTAGCATTTAGTGCATACCCTTAACTTATATTGCATACACTTTTTATTGAATATTTAATTAAATGGAAGTTTCAAAGGTAGACCAAGCTTCCTAGGTTTTTGATTCTGTGAAATTTCCATTAGATTTCCATTTAGACTCCACAGGAGTACTGCAGTTGTGTAAAAGAAAAACAGGATCAAATCTTTTGACTGCTTTTGACTAAATGGCAAAAAAAAATCCCAAGGCACTTTATAGAGGGAATGATAGTTCAGTATCCTTTTTGCACTGAGGGGGAAAGTTATCAAAGGTCACGTAGCAAGTCATGAGCAAAACCAAAAGTGCAGGCAATGCCTGCTGCTTCCCAATCACACACTCCTTTTGCTGGATGATGCTGTCTGCCCATTAGAGTGCTCAGTCAAATTCAGAAGCATTACTGACATGTAGTCAGGATTTATATTACTTCCACAGATGCCAAGATGGCACATCATAAAGCATGCATGAAAGCTTTGAAGGTAATGCCTCCATAACTTCTAGGCATCACTGATTTTAAAAATAAAAAACACATCTATATGCATAAACATGCAACAACAAGGACACTTCCTTACTGGAGATAGGGGGAAACATGGGACTTACCAGCACTATTGTATCTTAGCATACAGAGAAAACACAGAACCTCCCCAGGTGTTCCACACACCTGTTTAGCTTCATCCTCTAAAGGAGCCAAGCCATAAGTGCCAGAAGAGAGATAAATGTGGGCTGAGACAGGAACATCAAACTGCAATAAACAAAGCAGTAAGTGAAGGTATTTTTCTAAGAAAACATAAGGAAACAAAATCCAGAGAATGTTAAGCTGCAATGAAAATATGCCAGGTAATATGTTCTGTGCTACTTCCAGTGATAGCTGAGCCAAGGAGAAGGAGATGGACTCCACTCTATGTTCCCCTCAAAAAGGGTTCTGGGCTTGCAGGCAAGGACATGTTATTACCACAAAGGAAACAAGGAAAATTATTAGAAAACACAGTTAAACCCCTCTGATGACACAAAACTAGTCCAGCCAGTTTTTCTGCAGGTACTCCGAGGATAGCGTGTTGTTAGCATTCTTTGAAAGAGCTCAACCAGCAGATATAATCCAATTAGATATTCAAAGATGATGTGAAATAGCCCTCGTCTGGTAAAGAAGCCTGGCAGATGCTCTAATAAAGCCTGCCTTTGTTCAAGAGTGGCTTAGAAAAACCTCTAAACTTAATCCAGACGCCACACTGTAGCATCCCCAATCCGGAAGATCCCTAACAACATACACACTCAAAGCCTGTCTGTATCAACCTGAAGCACGTTAACACCACAGTGCTAATTAAAGGATGAAGTTACATGAGTCAACAGATCATCTGCAGTACCAAGTGCAAACACACAAGGATGCCAGGAAAGCAATGACACTCAACATGAAGCAAATTGTAACAAGCTCCACAGGACATTTTCCGCAGCTAAACTAACGCCACATGCTCCCTGATCCAGGGGTGTGGAGTTGGGCTCCTGTGAAGAGGGATCCAAGCTTCAAGCATATCAAACTGAGGGCCTGCCAAAAAGGCCTCCAGGGAAGAAATGCTAAGGCAGGAGGGCTGCTCCTAGATACTCCCTTCTCTCCAGGATTCCAGTTAGATGGTCAGGCCATCCCTCACACAAAGTGAGGAACCCTCAAACCACAGCACCTCAAACCCAGCAGCCGAGTACACTTGCCCAGGAGGTGGTACATAAGGGCTCAGCTTCCTCCTCCCCTGTGTGATAGGCAGGTCGGTCATCTGTCTGAGAAGGAGGGGGGACTGCTGTTCACAGATTATTCACTGGAAGAAAATACTTAAGAAAACCTCTTACGAATTTGGGCGTCCAGCAAACAATAATAAAGTTAAGCCTGTTTTTGTAGCTGGGCCCTTTATTGATGCTGTCAACAGCCACTACGTCAAATACAGACTCTATGGAAGTTTCCTGCAGACCTGGCTGGGGCATATGGGAATGCCAGGACAGAGGAAAGCCTGAAGCTCTACTGTCCCCGCTATCTATGGCCACACTGGTTCCTGCAAAATGGATTCCATCAATACAGTCATTGTGGAGAGCCTTCAGAAACCAACGGCATTTCAAAAGACAACAGAGGTCCAAATCTTGGCCTCAAAGCCCACAGGAGTCCTCAGTGGAGCTAAGATTTCACCAACCCAGGTAGCCCAGTTTTGCTTTCTGCAGGGCAGGCAAAGCAGTAACTAAAAATGCCAATAGACACCCGGAACCACATCAGCTGGGTCCTCATTATGTTGCTAGAATCATGAAGCTGCAGCAAGCACAGTCAGATTCAGAGGAAATGAGACAAACTGTCTCTGAAGATAGTTAAGAAAAGAGAAGGAAGGAGAAGCACGTGCATGACTTGCGCCTGGTGGCTGGGGCATTCCCCTGAGCAGTACATCTCCCAGCAGCAACACAAGCAGAAAATTAGGTTCCCCTGGGTTATCAGCATTAAGTACGTGAGAGGGGACAACCAACAACAACAGATAACCTCACTGTAGCAGAAGCAGCTGGGAGACCACCTGAAACCCCACTTCTATCATCTACCCCATCAGGGCCTCAGTTTCCCCACTGACAAAACAAGAACCTAAATTAGCCACGAGATGAGCCTAACAGCCTGTGAACTGCTGGACTGTTACAAGGAGATGTGCCATCAGAAGAACGAAGGTGGAGTAAACTATCCTGTTGTTCCTCACCTACCACCCACCTCAGCTTCTCTGTCCACTACACATTCCCAAATAAAGGCTAAACTGCTTTTTGCCAAAGATTCCCAGCTAGGCTGGGACAAGTAAGCACAAATGGTTTCCTGTCTGTGGTTTGGTATCTGCTGGAATTTAAAAACATGCAGTATGAACTACAGATTTTATTAGTTCACTTATACTTCAGAAAGTCCACCATATTCCCTTGCTACATGGCATATGTTGGAAAACTTCAGCAGAAACTGTGGAGCTGTAGTGGCACTGGCTGCAGATGTGCACAGGGCTTACCAAAAGAAAAGTGTCCTGAGGATGTATGTAGGTGTGTACACATGCTTTGCATTACTCATAGGAGGGGGAGAAAAAAACCAGCAGCCAAATATCACAGTTGTTTTCTTATTTAAAGTATAATAGTCACTCTGGACTATAACAGAATCTGCCTTTACATGCATGAAAGGTAAACCTTGGAAACTGTGTTATAAGCAAGATGACAGTCACTAACAGAAAGCAACTGGAAGAAATTTCACCTGTGCGCCATTCCTGTCTGCTCCAAGGCTTCTCACACTTTTCTTCAACTCCCCTAGTCCCCATTAATGACAGTGAGCTGTATCACATAGCTCAGTGGTCTGATAATCTGTTGGGGGGTGGTCAGGTTAAAAACAAAGCAACAGATCGCTGCTGTCCAGATAATCCAGCCACTGCAGCGCTGTGCATTGCTCTGACAATCCTGCCATAGCACGGATGCAGTCAGTGGACTTCAGGGGATCTACCAGCTGCAGGCTGGAAAGTGTTGCCCCAAGGCTTTGTGGATCACTGCCATGAACTCTGATCTGAAACTTCCCCTCTATGCGGTACAAAACCTGACCAACCCGAACAGGAATGGAAACCCTCTGAAGAAACATATGACTGCTGCAAGATGGCATAACATCTTCATTACCTGGCTTACCTTCGCCTAGCGAGATCTGAAATAATCTATTCGCACAGCTCTGGAAGTGTTTTTCTGCTTTAGGTCTTGATGTGAAATCCCAAAGCCCCATAAAAAAAAAATACTTTGTGTTTTGTTCTGTTGTTGTTCTAAAACTAACAGAAGCCGTCATCCAGTGACCTTAGCAAACTCCTGTGTGCATCTTAACTTTGCTTATCTACCCTGGCATTTCAGCTGGATACAGCTTGTGCCTACTTTCTATACATTACATGTTCCATATTTGCATATATTTCCA